TGAGTCTCCCCCAGTGTTTGGTGTCGTGGTGAAGTGCGCGGACTCTAATCTGGGGGAACCGGGTTTGATTCCCCACTCCTCCTCCACTTGCACCTGCTGGATGACCTTGGGCAAGCCGTAGCTCTGATAAGAGCTGTTCTTGAAAAAGAGCCGTTTCTGTCAAGAGCCCTCTCAGCCCCACCTACCTCACAGGGTGTCTGTGGTGGAGAGGGGAAGGGAAAGGAGGTTGTCAGCCGCTCTGAGACTCCTTTGGGGAGTGAAGGGCGGGGTATAAATCCAATCTCTTCTTCTCTCTCAGCTGAGTGAGTGTGAGCTAGCTCACAGTTTTTTAGCCTCCAGCTCACACATTTTGGTATTCGCTCAGGAAGGATGTGGCGCCAGAGCAGACTCATTTATGCCGCAGCCAAATTGCTCGCTCGCAACTTTAATGCCAGGAGCTCACAAAGCAGAATTTCTGCTCACAGGACTTCACGGCTTAGAGGGAGCGTTGCAGCCAGTATTCCCTCTAAGCTGAGTGAGTGTGAGCTAGCTCACAGTGTTTTTAGCCCTCGGCTCACACGGTTTTGTCTTGCCCCAGGAAGGACGGCTGCAGAGCAAACTAATTTATGACACAGCCAGATCACCTGCTCGCAACTTTAATGCCAGTAGCTCACAAAGTAGGATTTCTGCTCTCAGGACCCCACAGCTTAGAGAGGGAGCATTGGTCCCCCTTCCTTTTTCCTCTGCCTGCCCTGTTCCATCTGAGCCCCTCTCCCTTCCTCCATTCATTGCCTCACCCCCCCGCTGTCCGTTATTCTTGAAAAGCGGTGCAGAAAACCTGTGGGGGGCACCCTCGAGGTCAGCTGGAGGTTCCTCACAAGCAGGGAAGCCAAGCCTCCAAGCCCTGCTGGGAAGGGGCCCCAGGAGCGGACGGGCTCTCGAATTCCCCGGGGGGGGGTCTCTGCTCTATGGGGTTGCCAGCTCCAGGTTGGGAAATGCCTGGAGAATCTGGGGGTTGAACCTGAGGAGGGTAGGGTCTTCAGTGGGGTAAAGGTCAAGGTTTCCCCCTTGCTCGAAAGCCGAAAGAATCCGACTCTAGAGATGTGGTGCTCATCTCCGTTTCCAAGCGGAAGAGCCAGCGTTGTCCGAAGACGTTTCCGTGGTCGGCGTGACTGGACATCCACCTTGCAAAGTGGCCATTGTCTCCAGGTGGACTGCTCTCTGTTGCCTGGAGATCAATAGCAATCCCAGGAGGTCTCCAGCCACCACCTGGAGACTGGCATCCCTCCTGCTCTAGGGTGCCTGGGGGGGGGGCGTGAGCAGCCCCCATGGTGGGTGTAGCCATGCCCCGGCAAGGGCAATGGGGATAAGGGGAGTAGGTTGCCCAGTGCTGCATCGGGGGAGCGGTCCTAATGTCTGGCCCTGGCAGGAGTGTCGGGAACCTGCCCTGCCTTTCCCCAGATCCCTCTTCAGTTGCCCAGGCAAGGGGGCGTGGCCTTCCTGGGGGAGGCGGCTGACGTGGGTGGCGCAAGCAGAGTTGCCCCTTTCTCTGTCCCCTGAAGTCCCCGGGCTGAGAAGGGTGTGACTTTGCTCAGGGTGGTGGCCCTGTCAGGCCTCTTGCCGCCACCCAGACTGGAGGCTGGAGTGCCGTGTTTATTTCTCAAACTTGCCCCGACCTGGATGGCCCAGACTGGCCGGATCTTGCCAGATCGCAGAAGCCCAGCGGGGCCGGGCCGGGTTAGTCCACGGAGGGGAGAACACCAAAGGATACCGGGGTCCCTGTGCAGAGGCAAGCCATAGCAAACCAATAGCTGTTGTAGATTTTCTGGGTTGTCTGGCCATGGCCTTGGCATTGTAGGACCTGACGTTTCGCCAGTAGCTGTGACTGGCATCCTCAGAGGTATCACACAGAAAGATGGAGGACTCTCTGTGTCAAGGCGAAACGTCAGGTCCTACAATGCCGAGACCAAGGCCATACAACCCGGAAAATCTACAACAGCTACTGAACTGTGAAAGCCTTTGACAACATAGCAAACCCACCCCTGAATGTCTCTTGCCGGCTGTGACTTGTTCCGCCCCCGCTAAAGGACTTACAGCCCACCTTTCCACACGAATGCCGGAGGCGGCTTCATGAGGAATGTCTGCAGAACTGTAGAACATGCCGAACAGCAACCTTGTGGGGAAGTTCGGCATGATAGCCAGGCGGGCTGAGTGCGAGAGGCCGGGGCAGAGGTGAGAGTCCGAGGGGCCGTACGTGGAGTAGGCTGTGCTTGCCCTCGCCGTGACGCTCCCGCAGCTGGCCAAGATTCGTGAGGTCCACTACCATTGTTGCCGGATGACAGCAGCGGAAAAGAGCAGGAGTCCGGGAGCACCTGAGAGACAAACAGAGTTGGTGGCAGGGGAGGAGCTTTCGTGAGTCACTGCAGTCACTTCAGATACCGAAGGCCACCAATGTTGTTAGTCTTTAGGGTGCTGCTGGACTCTTTCTCTTTTCTGTTGCATGCTGCTTCTCTCGCACAAGACCCCCCTCCCCTTTCATATCCTAATTGACACACACAACTAAATTTAAATCACCAAATACTTGAATTTGCCATCTGCCCTCTCCCCCCGAGTGACATTGCAGGGGACCTCTCACGAAACCAGTCTGCCCCTTTGCTAACTCAGATTAGTTTCGGGGCATCGTAAATACTGGGTGTTCCTGGCCCTTTGCCCCGCTGTCCACCTTCCTTATTGAGCAGCCAGGTCTAGAAGCAGCACAAACCGAAGTGCTCGCCGTGGGAGGAAGGGGGCTCATGGTGACAGTTTTGATGGTTCAGACTTGGAGGCTGGATCTTTCAGCCTATAGTAGCTGCATAATGGGAATGGAACAGCCGTTTGTTCCTCCAGACTGGTCCCAGCGGTTGGGGGAGGGAGAGATGCCTGTGTTTGTTTTCTGCCTGTGGGAACCTCCACTTGGGGGGAAAAAGTCTCCAAAGCCAAGTTAAAAGGACCAGGCAGGAGGTGATGTGAAAGACCTCAGCCTGAGACCCCTGTCAGTCCAGGTAGACAACACTGGCCTTGATGGACCAAAGGCCTGAGCCAGTATAAGGCAGCCTCCTGAGGCGTGTCTGTCTAAAATCTCCAGCTGAGTCTGTGCCTCTTGTAACCTCTGAGTGCCCGTCTAACCCTTTCCCTCCGTTCCAATGAGACTCACAGAAGGGATTCAAAATCTGCTGGCCCTGCGGCCCCTCTCTTGGCTCTCCTGCCCTGCTGCGCCCCTTAAAGTGAACAAAGGATAGGGGAAATGCCAGGCAGAACATTTGGTGAACCTCCACTTCAAGGGGAACAGGAAACCCCTCCCTTAAACCAAAGCTGTGGTCTGTGAGGGCTTGAACAGGCTCTGCTCCCTGTGTTGGAAGAAGAGGCTCTGTGGGGTTGTGGCCTGCCGGCAAGTCCTTTTTTCTTGACTTCAGGTTCCTGAGGGTCCAAGGGAGCCTTTCATTTCCCCTCTTTATTTAAGTAGCTCGTGCGTTCCCAGGTTGTGCTCTGGATCGGAAACAGGTTTCTGGGGCTCCATTTTGCTTCCTCGCAGTAAAATGGAGCTCCACGACTGCCGTGAGTCATGGTGCTCTGCCGGGAGGTCCCGCTTTAGCTGTCCCCGGCCCAAGCCTCTCCTGGGGAAGGTGATCCCCTTGGGTGGATTCTGGGATCCGTGTCCCTGATTGCTCAACCGTTCCTATAATTAGGAAGCCTGTTGTGTTGTTTGTGCTTGAAGTCTCGCTGCTGCCTCGTGCCCTTCACGCGTGCCACCTGTCTCTGTAAACCCCTGCAGGTCATTGTGGAAAAGGCTCCGAAGGCCCGGATAGGTGACCTGGACAAGAAGAAGTACCTTGTCCCTTCAGACCTCACAGGTATTTGCCTGGATCCAAGGAATGAGGCGGGGGGGGGAGACGGGCCGGACCAGGGGCCTCACAGTCTGGCCAGCTTTTGACAGAGCATTTCCGGGGGCGGGGGAGAAGAAGGGTGTGTATGTGTGTTGTCTGAGCAGATCTCAACCGTGGCCTTCCAGATCCTCTCCATCCCATGAGACAAGCAGAACAAGAGAGCCAGTTTGGTGTGAGAGCCAGTTTGGTGTAGTGGTTAAGTGCGTGGACTCTTATCTGGGAGAACTGGGTTTGATTCCCCACTCCTCCACTTGCACCTGCTGGATGACCTTGGGCAAGCCATAGTTCTGGCACAGCTGTTCTTGAAAAAGAGCAGTTTCTGTCAGAGCTCTCTCAGCCCCACCTACCTCACAGGGTGTCTGTTGTGGGGAGGGGAAGGGAAAGGAGTTTGTAAGCCGCTCTGAGACTCCTTTGGGTAGTGAAGGGCGGGGTATAAACCCAATCTCCTCTTCTTCTTCCTGTTGTGTGAGCCCCACTTTGCCTCATGCTCGTGGTGGATTGACCCTGGTGAAATGAGAAGGCCATGGTATAAGCTGCCCTGAGCCGCTTCAGCGGAAGGGTGGGATAGAAATCTAACAAATAAATACGTCCAGGTTTCTGACGCAACGCCCTTTTCTCCTCCCGCCTCTGAACTTCCTCTTCCCTTCTCTTCTCCAGTCGGGCAGTTCTACTTCCTGATTCGGAAAAGGATCCACCTCAGGGCCGAGGACGCGCTTTTCTTCTTTGTGAACAACGTCATCCCCCCGACCAGTGCCACCATGGGGCAGCTGTACCAGGTAGATGTGTGCCCGTGACAGTGTGTGGAAGCCTCACCCACCCCACCCGCAGTGCTGGGTGCCCTAAGAAGAATCCCGGACACCCTAAGGTGCCGGGCAGGAAGCGGTAGACTTCTCCGGAGGAGGGTGGAGTAGCTTGCCACAACCAGCGGTAGTCGACTGTTTCTGGTGAATCTCTGTTCTTGGACTGCAGCGTCTCTCTCTTCCTTTCCTCCCCCCAGGAACATCACGAGGAAGATTTCTTCCTGTACATTGCCTACAGCGACGAGAGCGTCTACGGCAGCGAGTAAGGCTTGCCTTCACCTGCCACCACCACCGGGACGGCCCGTGCTCCTTAAGGGACCTGCACTTTTTTTTGTTGTTTGTTGTTGATTTTATGTTCAAGAGCCTTTTGACCCAGGACTGGGGAGGATTGTGGTTTTTTTCCCCCCTTATCTTTTCTTTCTGGAGTGCCCCTTCCCACCCTTTTTAAACCGCCCCCCCCTTCTGTTATGACTACTCATACTTCTCTCTCCCTTAATCCCGATGCTGTGCCCTGGGCTTTCTGTTGAAGTGGTAGTGGGATTGCGGCTACAAAAATATACCTCTCTTCTCCCGCATTCTTTCTGTCTTCCCACCCCATTTTTCACGTTTTTTGGGGGGAGGGGTTAGGGGGGGTCTCAGATTCTCAACAACAAAAGAAATCCTCCCCCGTTTCAAACTCTCAGCTCCACTACCATGCCCTGAATTTGCTCTTATCTGGGGGTTGTACTCTGCCTGGCACTTTCTGTAACCAGAGCAGGGGATGGAGAATGCTAATAATTAAAACGGAAAAAAAAAACCTTAAGAAGAAACTTGAGCCTCTAGGGAAGTTCTTTGCACTGCTTGACGAGGGATGCTTCCTAATATCAGCTGCAAGTTATCAATCCTTATTTTTTGATGTTTAGGGAAATGAACCCTAGCATCTGGTGGTTGGGTTGTTGAATTAGGTGGGGGGTCAGTTTGGGAAGGTGGGCTGGCAGAAAGGGTAGTAGGAAAAGGTCCTTGGGGTTAGGGGAAAACCCCCCAAAACAGGCCTGGGTGTTCTGTGCAGACCTGACACCCAAGACCAGAGCCAGCATGGTGTAGTGGTTAAGAACGGCGGGCTCTAATCTGGAGAACCGGGTCCGATTCCGCATTCCCCCACATGACGCCAGCTGGGTGACCTTGGGCCAGTCACAGCTCTCTCAGCCCCCGAAAATAAGTCTAACTTGCCACTAAAAGACCTAGAACTTAAGGCTGCCAGACAATCTTAGGATCTCCTGGCTATTCTACACACAATGCCATATGATGATTATTATTATTATGCAAGACATGGGCTGGAGCGGTGTGCAAACAAGCAGTTATTGGATGCAGGGAAGGGTGGCTCTGGATCCTCAGTCAGAAAGGGGGGAGGGAGGTGTGGGTCCCTCTCCGTGGAAGAAGATGGCCAAGCGATGCCTCTCAGGCTCCTGAGGTGGGAGTCCCTGTGCTGGGAATGAGCCAGGGTGATGGGAATGGGTCACCACTGCTGGGCTGGGAGGACAGAGGTGGATTCCTCAAGGCCAGCAAGAGCACCTCACTGGGTCTGGAGAGGCTGGCCTTGCTGCCTTCTGGAGGGACACAACCGTTGGGGTTGCCCGGGATCCGGTCTCGGGCGCCTGGAAAGCTGGCACCCTTGGTCAGATGCAGACCGGCCTTGGTGCGGATGGTGGTGCCTCCCCCTGACTGCTGGGCAGCTTCTGCCTGGACGTAGAATCAACTTGTCCTTGGGAGGGGAGACCCTTCTAGTGATTTCCTGCTGCTTTGGTTTCCTGGAGGGAAAGACTCCGGCTCCCCCTCTAAAGCGAGAGTCTGTCTTTTCTCTTGGACGTGAGTTAGGAGGCCATGGGCAAGGCCAGCCGTTTCCTGCTGTGAGGAGGGCACCTGTGGCCTTGGGACTTTCCAAGTCTTTCCTCGCGCTTAAGCCCTGTGAATAGAGCCTGCCGGAAAGGGGGACGAGGGGAACTGCCTCTTGAAGGGGGGGGAGAGGGTGGTGTCCATACGGCCCCCACCAGGCAGGGCGAGCGAGAGGTTTGCAAGTTAACTCGTCGCTCCTCCCACCCCTCTGCGAGACTGAACAGCCAGCGTTGCACAACCGCGCAAGCGTCCATGACCGCTTCCGTTAACTCCTTCTTAGAAGACTACGACTCCCGGGATCCTCGAGTTCAGCCCTTTCGCATTCCGGCCGGTGAGAACTACAGCGCCCAGCGTGCCCTCCTTCCCATTTCCCTCGGAGCGGAAGTGAGAGCAACAAAGGGGGAGGAGTCGTTTGTGTGCCCGCGCAGCCTGCCGGGACCCGTAGTGCGGCCGGGCCGGCCCCCTCGGCGCGCTCTGCGGCGGGGAGGACTCCATGTCCCGAGAAGCCTGGCGGCGGGGCGGGGCCAGGCGCTCTGAGCGAGCCTGGAGGGAGGGGGGAGCAAGGGAGCGAGCGAGCTCGGGCTGGACTCGAGTCGGCTCGGGCGGCACCGGACTGAGCGAGGGGAGGAGAGCCGAGCGGCCGGGCGAGGGAGCGAGCGGG